TGCATGGCCAGAGATGACCAGCTTATTTGCATATTTTGAAATAGCGCCCTCTATAAACATATTAATTTGAATAAAATATGTGTGCCAGCCAAATGCCAATTTCTTAAATCTATGTCACGTTGAAATCATATTAAATGCTTTTTGGGGGAAACAATTGCAGTTGTGCTGCATTAATCTTTCATCGTATTTGGTACAAATTTAGATAGGGTAGGTGTGGGGAATAGAAGACCCTTAAGCAGATTTGCATAATTTACATAAACATGAACAATGTTACACATACAGACATTTTTGTATTCTCTTTAGTATTTTTTCTCTTTATTTGGTAACGAAATTGTGGTGATGATGTAACTGATTAATAAGATAACAATGATTAATGACGTCATCACCAAAGGTCTCTCATTACCTACATGTGTAGGTAATAAGGGACAGTTACAAATCAAGACATTTTAAATACAATTTGAATGAAAATGGGATAGTTATAGTTAGTTCAAACACTTTTTGAAAGATATACATGCGGCCAATGAACTTATCGAATTTTGAAACGATTTTAAAACGATGGGGCCCAAAATATTTCTGTAGTTTTTTGTTTACAGTAATAAAGGTGCTCTCAAATATGTTAAAATACTTTCAGAATAATGTTCTGGCAATATGACTTTTACATTTATCAAACTCACAGCATAGAAACAACTTCTTAAAATTAAATGCATTCAAATTAGAATGGTGACACGTACAACCAAATTTGTTTCATGATAGTGCCTTTCAACATGAAATGGACAACTGGGGAGAAGTAGGCCCCCATCTTGGACCTGGTGTCCCCCATTACCTACACACATTTCTGATCAGACACCATTCATAATGTGAATTGCAACACCCATTCAAAACACACAGTGGACATAAGCTTTCTGTGATGGTTGGCACATTTCATAAACTTCCTTTTAAAACTATTTTTTTTAAGAGCCACCCCTAAATATCTGCATGCACCACAACATTCAGTGAAAATTGTGTTTTTATATCAGAGCAAAATTTTACGATCAAAATTGTTTATCTTGGTCAATTTTGCCAATTTTCTCGTAGAGAGAACGCACTGTAGTCTTCGAAATGAATTGGATATATGCAGTAGTGTTGTTGAAGGCCACATATGTCGCTATATCAATATTGGAGCCAACACGGACAGACAGTGATGGGTTCAAGCTTGGTGGTCTCCAATTCCCTACACCTACCCTACATATGTCAAGAAAAAAAATGGCTATGAAAGAATTTATTTTTCAACAAATCGGTGAGAAGTGGTTTTACGGCACACATTATTATTCAATTAATAGGCTTTATTTAGACCAGCATTGCTCCAACGTCAGTGAATGTGGATAAAGCAGTTAACATCTATACTAGACAGATGCATGATTTTCAAAAGAAATTACCTGGTGGATTCTATGTCACAATTTCCAAGAATGTTCAAACCGTGGCAGCCATGAATAAGTCAATGTTGGGGTACGAAAGTCTATGAAAAGTTGATCTACTCCAGAGTAATAGGACTGCAGACAAGTTCAAGAGAGGTCAATGTCAAGGACATTTTGTCATAAGAGCTTTTACCAGTCCCAACAGCACTTTTTGATGATTCTGGAAACGAGCACTCCCATGTCAAAGACGGACTTATAGAATTTGACAAAAGTTGAGATGTCAGCCAGGCATGAGACACTGGAACAACCTTGTACAGTCATTGGTGGTTGTGCTCTGCTGTGGATGAAAATCTGATGATGTTTGCTTGGTGTTTGACAGATCCGAGAGTATTTAGAGGTCATAACGGGTCGAGAGTCTTCCAACTCAGTCCCGCGTCACTGCTGCCCTCCAAGAAACTATCTCTTAATGTTCGTCGTCGTCGTCGTTGTCATATAGATCATGGCTCACCCTTGTGACCCGTTTGATGAGACCTTTTGATCGGCATCTGTCTCCTGCAATCCGGTAGAGTGTCTTTAGTATTTAGAGGGTGGCTAGTGATTTCCCTAAGGTCGTCAGTCCATCTGAGCTTGAGTCTTCCTTTGTTACGTGTTTCTTCAAAGGTACCTTGAATGATAATTTGTCAAGGTTGTCTCCTGATCTTCTGCTAACGTGACCAAACTATTGTAGCTTGTACTTGTCAATCCTGGTAGCAAGTGGCGGTTGATCTCCGATGATGGACATTAATTGTGTCCGTTGGTGATGTAATCTCTTCATGATATCCCAAGTAGCTTCCTCCAACACCACATTTCAAAGGCAGATATTGCCGAGCTTCCACCCTCCTTGACAATCATTGACCCAAGAACATTATATAAACTTGTCCACTTGATCACCTTCTTCTCTTTCAACCACCATGCTCTGTTGCATGTAGTTAATTTCCACCAATCATGATCTTGGTCTTTTTCACATTGAGTTAGGGTCCAAATTATTCACTTGCATCCTTCACTCTTTTTTAAGGAGTTCTAGTAGTTCTTCTGATGTTCTTGTTATAAGTGTTGTCAGTGGAATACTGAGCAAAAACACTTAGAGGGGCAGAAAAACAATCTGCATCACCACCACTCATACATGTTACATGCAGGCCCCGCGGAACTTTTTTTTTAAAGCGGGGTGGGGGGGGGGGGGGATTGAAGGATTTACGATCAGGAAGAGAGGAGCGCAAATTGGCGTGGTGTTCAAGGGGCACAGCCCCCGGAAGCTCAAGGGTTTCAGGCATTTATTAACTGTAAGATGAACATATTTTGATACCTCATTTCACCTCGGGTCACTTTCTTTCTTTCTTTCTAGTTCTCTTTAACATACTTTATACAAAAAGTGAGGGGGGCTCGAGTCCCCTGAGCCCCGCTGTTCTGTGGACCCTGACATGTAGGCTTTTAAATAAGCATATTTTTTGCTTGACTGTGGATTTAGGATTTGTCATTTTCCAACATACGCTTAACAAATAATAATTTACTAAAAAGTGAGAAAAACCCCAGGAAAATCATGTCATTTCAGCAACATTTGTAAATCACTGGTATCGAATATATATAAAAAAAAACTGTTCAACTGCCCCCCCCCATACCCTTCCCCATTAATACGCCAGAGAGTGTTGTATTGTCGGCGTATCTTAGGTTGGTGATCGTTCGTCCACCAACAGAAACTTGACCATAAAATGCCTTTCTCATGATGAATTCAGCATAGATGTTGAAAATTTATGGTGATAGGTTGCAGCCTTGACGGACAACTTGACCAATAGTGAACCTTTCGGTGTCGCCATTCTCTGCTCTTACTGTTGCTTCTTGGTATTGGTAGAGCGACTGGATGAGTTGAATTATATGTGCTGGAAAGCCCATCTAGCTCATAATCTTCCATAGGCGTTCATGTTGTACGCTGTCAAAAGCTTTGGAAAGATCAATAAAGCTAGGGAGAGAAGTTGTTGAAACGTGTCTCTAGTGTTGCTAACTTCACAGTCTTTTCATGACAACAAACTACAGTTGATCGACATCATAATTATATGCGCGAGTCTGCAGGATGATTGGGTGCTCAGAAATAGGCAAAAGCACAAGCAGGCCTTTACCGTCAAGATGAGGTTCTTGTTGAAGTGATTCCAGGCAGTGATGTCATGCCAAGGAAAGGTCTGTCCACAACATAGTTATGATGAAGCAGGCAACATCAAAGAACAGCAAGCGATTGGAGTTGATGCTAATGAGAAGATGTATGTTAGGGTCCTAGTGGATGACACAGAAGTCTACGTACTACTTTTGCATCATTATCTACATGACGGACTTATAAAACGCCAATGACCATTGAGACGCCCCTTCACAAATCGAACTGTTATTGATGTTCCTGCCAATGTAGACAAGTTAGGAGATATCATTCCATCGATGTTGGCAGGACATGCGTTGACGGGATGCGACACTCTTGGGGCATACTTTGGCATTGGATAGGGTACAATGCTGAAAGTGATGAAGCAGAAGATTCGACTCCCTTAGGACTGAGTTGGCAATGTTGATGCAGCATGGTCATATGTCATCACTCAACCTACTCAATGCTTTGCTTCATGTTATGGACAGTCAACAACCAACTGAATGTCAGAGGCTCGTATCAACGTGTGGCTATCAAGGGTCCGAAGACTAGGAGCTCCAAATACCCCCAAACCTTGCCTCACTACCTCAAACTACTGAAGCGTTTGTAGAAAATGTTAAGAGAACTCATTTGCAAACATGCGTGTGGAAGCACGCATTACGGTCACGACCTTACTTTGCAGAATTAAGTGTTAAATGACACCCTCTTCCGCATGGAATATTTTAGGGTTCCCAACACTTTAGAGGGCTTTTAAACAAATTTCAAGATTTTGAAGCAAACTTATAAACGGATATAGTCCTGTATCGTAGTGGTAGTTCGTAATTTTTAGGTTAAGTTAAAAGAATCTAGTACCTTAGAATACAAATCTAGTTTCTTAACGCTGTCACTGAAAATGGGCATTTATCACCATATGCCACTTCATATCTATGGGACAGAGAGCATAAAATTCAACCGTGTTTTCTAACTAAATAAATGTGCAGCACAATCTTTACTCACTGTATCCAGTGCATCTGACTCATGACATATGATAATCTCATGTTAGAAATTGGTATTTGGCCATCATTTTGACCTATGCAAGTTAATGTGTCTATAGAGGGCGCCATTCCGAATTATGCAAATTTGCATATCATTTGTGATCATACAGCATCGCAATTTTTATTTAGTGATGATTCTAGAAAAAAATCAAGATATTTGACTGCCATTTAATGTAGTAAAATGCTGTTAAAACTTTTTATATCATTAATTTTGGTTAAAAAGGGGATTTTGGCGGCCATTTTGTATGACGTCACACATCTCAAATTGCTCAATGCTGACAGAGTGTCAGCAATCGAATTCTTCAAATTGATGGTCTAAGGGACTATAATCCGAAGAAAAAAAAACTATAGACCCTAAAACAAGGTATATCGAGATGGCTGCCGGACTAAAAAAAAAAAAAATATATATATATATATATGGCAATAATAATAATGTGGTGACGTTATGGAGCCAAACTCTCCCTCATAAACCAACCACTTTCACCGGCTCGGCAACTTTAAACAAGATGGGACGTCTTCATTTCAGATGAACCAGAAGATTTGTCCTGGTTGTTAACACGGAGAGGTATCTTGTAAGCGAGTTGCGGGTTACGGATCAAAGTGTATGCCACAAGCCAGCGGTTGCGGGCGATCCTCCTCTTCTTACTTGGTGATGGTACCGCTGAATCTGACGGGAAAGTATGTGAAAAATCCCATTTGAAGAAAATCAAGATCTCAAAAGATATGTTATTTAATAATAATAATAATATGGTTATTTATATAGCGTCGTTATCCGTCAGGTTCTGACTCTTGCAATGTCTTAAGTAAAATTCATTTCTTAATTGCGCTCAGCTAATCAAATATTAAAGTTTTCAACATTGCCCTTCACTGATGACATCATCTAGGCGCCATTTTGTGAAATTTTCTGATTTTTCTCATTCATATTTATCACGATCAAGGTCAATATCATTCTGTCCGGTCAATTTCAGGTCAAAAAAGCACGCGCGTGCGCGTACGTCCGCGCGTCAATGCGCGCGCACAATTTTATAATGTTCAAAATCTTGTTGTTCTTGATTTATTTTGTCGGTTTTGTCGATGGGTATTTTTTTTTTCTCACAAGAAACTATTTATTTATTTACTTGTTCATTTATTCACTCACGTATTCATGTATTATTCATTTATTCAGTCATTCATTCATTCAAACATGCATTCATCCATTCTTTCACATATTCATACTAGTTATTTTTTTTTCTTATCATCTTTCTTATTTTCTTATATTTAATCATTCATTTAATGTTTACCTCCCATTTCAGTGGTACACTCGCCTTCGGGTTTGTACTTCCTTTCATTGTTTGACCGACATAGCAGCTGACAGAACGTAACGAGCACGGGATGTGTCATGCTAACCTCAAGCGTGAGATATCCACGATAAGCCATGTAGCCTAGTGAAGGGGGGGGGGGGAGACAAAACGGAAAATAATATAATTATTACATTAAATGTGAGGTCCATCCTGATATTACGTTGGTTTAGATAGAAAGTTGATAGAAAAGTGAAAGTTAATCAAAACCGATTAAAAATTACGAATTAATTTTAATTTTAACGCGCGATCAATCAAACACAAAGTTGCATCTCTGTGCCCTGTAATAAAAATAAATATATACATTTTTCTTAACAAAATTGTCACTCAAACATTCACCCTAAATATAATCGTTGCAAATATATATTTTTTGTATACACCCACGTATAACTAAGAAGATTAAAGCTTATGGAATTTTCTTTACAGAGCCAATTGGAAATGACCTCGCAAGAAAATGTTGCCACTTTGTTTTTTTACAAAATATATGAGATAAAAAAAATGTTGTAAATTTTTAATTTTTAATTAATCAAACATAAAATGGCAACGCTGAGCCGTATCTTCGAGGTCCTCCCAATTTGCTCTGTACAGATAATGTCATAAAAAGTAAATTTTCTTAATTGTTGATGTAGGAATAAATTAGTGTCATACAGGAGTTGTGCAAAAAATGCAATGATTACATTTAGGGTCCATGGATGACTTTAAAAATTCCTTAGGGAAAATATAGATTTGTTTTTCTTTTCTGTTTCTCTCATTTCTCTGGTTCTATTAAAACTAATCCAGGATAAGGTGCATGGAAATCATTTTACAACAAAAGTTTGTTGATATAGACGCACAATAACAATGTATGATTAAAAAGTGAAAGAATACAAGAAATTTAGTTGAAGAAAATGGCGTTGCGTACTTGGGCCAAGCTATTGAAAGAGCTCTTGCATTATTTTTGTATATCGTTGAAACCAAAAAAAAAGCCACTGTTATTATTTTTTTGATGATGATGATGATGATTATTGTTATTTTTTTAATTATAATTATTATCATTATATATTTATCGTTATATTATTATTATTATTATTACTATTATCATCATCATTATTATCAGAACGACAACGGATCATCATCCTACCACGATCGAAGCGTTCGAACCCGCGGATGAGGAGACACTGGTCAACTCGGCCGATGAGTACGAGTCCGACCACAGCCGCCTTCAAGATCCGAAAGATGCATCCCGCTATTCCCAGGAGGACGGACAGGAAGATGAAGAAGAAAGTGATGATGTGAAACAAGTGCCTGTAAACGTATGAGCAGAATAGAAGAATAAAACAAATTTGAAACAGGATGCGATACAAAAAAAACAACACGATTGAAATTCAACTACATATACATTAAAACAATACAAGCAATTTCAATATCCTTGTGCTTCACCTCGTGAAATGCGCGAACGTGACATGATAGTGGATTCTTGTATAGCGCTCATGTTTGTCACACGTGACACTCCTAGCGCTCCCAGCTATTACCTCTAACAACTCAAGGAATTAATTCCTACCAGGTATTACGTCCTACGAATATGGTTTCTTTGGATGTATACAACAATTTTTTTTAAAATAGAAATTCCATTTTAATTGATTTATTCGAAAACAGTTTTTTATTTCTATATTTTGTTTGAACAACTGGATTCAAAACGCTAGTAAAAAGTGATACATTCGTAAATAACTAGCCGTTCTTCTTGGTCTATGTATATAATCATATAAATCATAATCAAAACGATTGAAACGATTAATATGACCAAACTAACTAACAAGTTTGCAAAATTGATTGTAATCGGAATATTAGGTAAACAATTTTTATCCAAACACTGGAATCCATTGACTTAACTACTTTTAAATCATCCAAGTGATATTCGTTGTTACAATCTCTTAATAATTCAAATGTTTTCCACTAAATGACCGGTCTGTTTAATATCTATTAAAAATATTCTTGATTTAAATCTTTTGTTATAAACCAACAAAATAATGAATCAAGTCACTCGCTTGGAAACGAAACTTAAACATGTACGGGACTTAATTAATGTCTACCCATTCACTTACAGGTTCTTTAGTACAAGTGCGCCATCTTCGTTCGCTTGGAGAAGAACGCAACGAGCAAAAATTCGAAGAGCGATGTAGAGAAAAACTATCATCGCAAGGTGTACCCTGGAAAGAGGTTAAAAATATTAAAACAATCAATGGGCATAGCTACTAGGATACTGGGGGGGGGCACTACCATCCCCTCTACAGCCGAACGGCGAGGGAGAGAGAGAGAGAGAGAGAGAGAGAGAGAGAGCGAAGAAATAGGAGGGTATATGTATTGTCAACTTGCTAGAAGCTCGTTGGGTTTGGGATATGTTCGAACAAAAGGTAAGTATTTAGAGAACAATTATTTTAAGATCGGTTTATAAAAAATAACATTTTTTTCTTCATCACCTATATTCACAAAATATCTTTTCAATATATTCAAATTACATCAATTTGAATAATAAGAGAGTAAGATTGGAAACACCCAGCACTGAAATTAAATGATATTTTTTTTGGACGGTTGACGATTGCAATGGATGATGCATTAAACATTTTACGAAGGTGGTAACAAAAAGTCAGGCTAATAAACATTAAAATGATACCAGTATTCTCTCATCAGCTCCAAAAGTAAGCCGTATTGAAAGAGCAGACTGAGTCCGAAGAATATTGCCCAGAGCATAACTTGTAGAATAATGAATCCTGAAAACAAAATCAAGAGTAAAAAATAAAGTGAAGTAGAAAATTATGTAAACTTGTGAAAAAGTCCTCTTCCTTGTACTAGTTCGTGATACATTTAGAAAGGTAACGAAGGCCGGGAGTTGGAGGAGGGGCAGACTGAGAGTGGTGTTTATATCCATTCACAATTTATTGACAACATTTTTTTTTTTTTAACTTTTTTGCCTTTATTCAGATCTTCATAATTATACAAAATGATGAATAGGAACACAATTGTTCTTACAGTATAAACATACATGTAGTCAGGCGCGTACGCAGGGGGTGTTTGGGGGTTAACCCCCCCTTTGGTATTTTTATGTTTATAACCCCCCTCCCCCCTAAACTCCCCCCCCCCCTTTGGGGTTAAAAAAAAAAAAAAATTATTCCCATGGCTGACCTAAAAAAGGTGATCTTACCCCTCCCCCCCCAACGGAGCAAAATGTCAAATTTTCAAATTTCGAGACCAAAAAGAAAAAAAAAAGAAAGTGTCCTCTTACCCCCCCCCCCCCTCCCCGCTTATTCAGCGGCTGGCTGAGTCGATGCGAAATTTTCGGCCCGATTTAAAAATGTTAACCCCCCCCCCCCCCCCCTTGAAAAAATCCTGCGTACGCGCCTGCATGTAGTACATTGTCTCATACATTATAAACACAGACATATTTAAACAATAGTTTCCGTAAGTATCCAAACTAATATAGTACACATTCAAACAAATGTACAGAATGTGCTCCAATTCCTTTAAAAAAGGAAAAGGTGACGGTAATACTTGGATACAACATTATAAAAAGGAATTTAGGAAAAACGTGAAATTTAGGAGAAAGCTCATGCACCCTCTACAGTTAAAAAACACACTCTTGTTTTGAAAGATATGGGTTTCATTTTAATGACGGAAAATGATGTGTGGTGTTGTTGTTTGGTGCCATCGAGTCGTCTCCGACTCCTGGACAAACCCTCACCAGGTGACTCTGTCCTGGGCATGTATCTTCATCTTCATCTTAATGACATGTCTGTTTCTCAGGTCACACCTTCTATCCATCTAATCCTTTGCCTTTCTCTTTTTCATTTCACCTTGCACTTTACCAACCATGAATGTGGTATCCTGCTCCATACCCTTTAGATATTACAATGTTTCCCAAAGAAGCCAACTCTCTGTTTCGTAATCATGGCCTCCAAATAAAAGCTCACATCTCCCTGGTTGTAGGTCATCAAGCACTGATCTGTTTGTTGTTCTGGCTGTTAATGGAATCCTACGCATCCTGTGCCAACCCCATGACTTTTTCAAATGAGTCCAATTTCTTTCTCTTTTTTCTCTTTTTCTATCCAGTATACAATTCCACACAGCACCACGGGGAAGAATATCCATCCTCATCTATGTTGTTGTTTTGCTTACATCTTGGTATTTTTATATCTTACAACATGACTAAGTGAATAAATGCGTGTTTAAAAAGCTTTAACAAATTACTGACCAGAGATGAGAAAGGCAATGGTGTATCCACTAAACTTCAAAGCCGAGACCTAAAAAAGAAACACGTGAGACAAATTTAAAGGTAAAGATGAGAACTTGCGACGCGAAATGCCACTTCGGAGAAACTATTAGGCCGATAAAGGTCATTTATACCATGAACCTGAGCCATGTTTGTATAAAGTTATGAAGCCAATCGAGACGACTGTCAGATACATGTTATCGAAGGGTATGTAATTAATATTCATTTATGCACGGGTGTTCCATTCTACACAGGCGGAATGAAGGACCTCCATTATGCTATGGTCACATAACCCAAAAGTAGCCTGGTCGGCGGCCGAGCGGCGAGTTTTTAAGCAATTCTGCCCGGCGGCTGCCCGGCCACCGAGCGGCGGCCGCCCAGGCACCGCTCGTTTTTAGGGCATCGCTCGGTCGCCGCTGAAGTTTTAGCGCGGAGTTAAAATTTGGGCGGGGCCTGCTCACTTTTCAGTCGCCGCCCAAAATACGCTCGGTGCCTGGGCGGTCGCTGACCGGGCACCGACGTAATCGCTGGGCGATGCCTAATTCCAGCAGCGACCGAGCAGGCTACTGATCGGTCGGTCGCTGCTCTGATTTGTGACCATAGCTTAACTGTAGCAGTGATTATTCTAAAATGAACAAAGACGGACATCTTCATGTGAAAAAGATCTGTAGATATTTGGGAGTCATTTGTACAAGTTCCATCTCCGAAATGGCTAATTATCTTGTAAAGGAAATTGTCGTGAAGCTTGCAGAAAAGGTATTCTTCATGTAATACATAATACTTGATGTAGGCCTATGGCGCGATGTTTTGGAATAATCGAAAAGAAACACGAACTAGAAGAAATAGGGGACTATACACATCATTGGGCGTCAATCCTTGGGGGACGAGGGGACACGTCCCCCCCACGAATTTTCAGGTGGCGAAATGTCCCCCCCCCCCCCCCCCATGATTCGGGGTTAAAATCTTCTTTTTTTTTCTTTCTTCCTCTCTTTCTCTCTGTATTGAGAAAAATCAAACCAAATCAGGCGATCAGATTTTATTTTTTTACTAGAAGCGTCATTAATATTACATTCACATTACCGGAAGTTCAAACATTGGTTTACGATGAAAATCCTTTCACCAACTGAAAAAAAATCAAATTAATCCCTTGTATCTTTAAACTTTATGGCTGATTGTTCAATGGAAACAACAAATTCATCTATCTATTCCCCCCCCCCCCCCCCCCCCCGTTGCGTTCTTGTTCCTGTTAGTTGAACTTAAGACTGTTTTCTTTTTAATTTGGCAAAAATTAAGCCCAAAGTCAAGCCATCTATCCATCAATTTCAAAAAATCTTCAACTTCTGAGGGGGGCACATCCCGCCTCAGACACCCCTTGTGTTCTACTGTTTCTTTTTAATTTGGCAAAAAGTATGCACCAATTCGAGCCATCTATCCATCAATTTAAACAAAAATCTTCAACTTCTGAGGGGGGCACACCCCCACCCCCCTCAGACACCCCCTGCGTTCTACTGTTTTTTTTCTAATTTGGCAAAAAGAATGCACCAAATTGAGCCATTTATGTATCAATTTTAAAAAAGTATTCAACTTCTGAGGGGGCACATCCCTTCAGACACCCCCTCCTGCGTGGCGCGCCCATTCGTCCCCTTACAAAATAACCTGGCGCCGCACTGTCTAAATTGTGCCCCCCCCCCCCCACGGTCTGATTTGGATTGACGCCCATGACTATACACACGTATGGCATGAAAACTTGCTATGAATTTCTTAGCTATTTCTCTTTATAAGGGCATACGAAGAGCTATCTTCATAATTCCTACTATGCTATATTCCTCCTCAAATTTGTATCAAGAACGAAAGAGGAAGTTCACAAAGTATTTTTCATTTTACCGTAACTGTTCGAACCTCAACTTCTGCTTACAATACATGGATATATTTTCGTTCATCCTAACATCGTTTATCACATAATATCATCCATAGCAACCATCCCATCCAGATGTCACTCTGACAAAATAACAAAATATACAATATTTTGGGATATAGCCTGCCGAGCTACTAGCACGTAGATACAGCATTTATTTCACATAAATTATCAACACTTTTATTTTTCAAAGTATGAAAACAACTTCCAACAAATTCTGTCTGAAAATCATACATATACAATGTTTTTACACCTCTTAACATTTAATCATGTGAAATCATAACTAATTAAACTTTTATGCCCTTACCCTAATTATGCCCGGGTTTAAAAAAACAGAGATAAAACTCAATCAGCACTAAACTCTGAAAAGACCCTATGGCCACCGCAACCTAAACTTTGATGCAACAACGTCTCCTACCTATTATCATTTTTTAGTTCACTCTTTAAAAAGAACTCCATATATATAAAAAAATAAAATAAAAAAAACGTGCTAGTGTGCGGTCCTTGGAAAGCTAGAATGACTTCCCTCTACACACCACACCCTTAAGCCCCAGTCCCATATAAAGCCGGACCAGCACGGACGAGCACGGACCACTCCGGACCATCCCGGACCATGGTCTGGGGTGATCCGGGATGGTCCGGGATGTTTTGTTAAAAAAAGTGTGATGCTTTTAAGCTACAGTCCCATATACGTCCCGGACCGTCCCGGACCATCCCGGACCCCATCCGGGGTGATCCGGGATTCGGTCCGTGTTGACACCGTGTTGGCACCGGGGTGGTCCTGGATGGTCCTGGATGGTCCTAGGCGGTCAATAACTCACTCCCGGACTGCCACGGATCAACACGGACCGCCCCGGCGCCACTACGGATGACCCCGGACCCAGCACGGTGGCTACACGGATCACCCCGGATCAAACTATTGTCCCGGACCGTCCCGGACCACCCCGGCAGTTTTTGACCGTCAAAAACATCCGGGGTCGACTCCCGGACCGCCCAGGACCATCCAGGACCATCCAGGACCATCCAGGACCATCCAGGACCACCCCGGTGCCAACACGGTGTCAACACGGACCGAATCCCGGATCACCCCGGATGGAGTCCGGGATGGTCCGGGACGGTCCGGGACGTATATGGGACTGTAGCTTTATCTCGCATCCTCTCTTTTCATATTCAAATGAAACACCTTCGACGCAACGGAAATTGAATAATTCCGTCACGCATGCCGGAGAACAATTAGTGTTCACCACTTATTGGCCGTATAAACAACATTTGCCAGCTATACGATGTAACGCTGGCAAATACATTTCTTAAAAAGTTACTAGAAAAACTTACCACAGCTCTAGGGGGTGTTTGATGTATGTAGGTCAAGGAGTAATCGCCTTTCCAAAGACTACGTGTGTGGTTCCTATAAAATACATAAGGTAGGGAGATATTTAATTGCACATAATTGAACGACTTATGCCATCGTGGCTGATCACTTACAAAGTGATGAGCCACGAATTTATTAGCAGCCGGCTTGGTTATTTTAATGGTTTATCATTTGGCTAGCTAGATTCGCAAATAATCAATTCGCAGCGTGTTCCGAATTCATGTGCAAGACATGGGTCCAATTCCTCAAAAGGTCCCTATTTTACAGTTGTTTTTAATCAAGTTACATTGGTTGACTATAAGGCATAGAAAGGCATTTAAGATACTTTTGCTTGTTTACAGAGCGTTATATTGAATTGTCAAGCCCCACATTGTTTGAATTATTATCTTTTAAATTACATCCATGTACACATAACTTACGAAGTAAACAGGAGAGGCTGCCTCACACACAAAAAAATAAGTAACTCTTGGAGATTGCACTTTTAGTTGCGTCGCTCCAAAGCTTTGGAATAAAATAACACTTGACATACAGATAACCCTCATCTGTACTGTCTTCAAAGTCGCACTTTTTTCAGGAGCTTTTTAATTTTTTTCTAGAGGCGAATCATCATCATCTTATTATCATCATCTTCATCACCATCATCATCATCAATATCGTCCTCATCATCATCATCATCATCATGGTCGTCATCATCATGATCATCGTCATCATCGTCATCATCATCATCATCATCATCATCATCTCAATCATTATTGACGTCATACCATCATCATTATCATTATCATCATCATCATCATCGTCATCATTATCGTCGTCACCCTGATCATCATAACATCATGGAAATTGTATGCATTACCTGTAGTTACGCAGAGTAAAGAAACTGTTCGTGACAGCGATGACAAATGCCAAAATACAGGAGGCATAAAAGGTAGCTGAAAAATGAACGCGTGTAGGACAAACATCATTGTCATTGGTATTACTTAAAAATATAGGTTTGGCATATTATTAAGAGAGTTGTTTCCCATCTTTGCGTCATGTGTTCACTGAATGGCAATGTTAACATTTGTGTCTCTTTACGTACCAAGGTAGATCTACCAATCATGCTCATTATGCAAAGATAAGATTAGGTTCTTACATCGGTTACATCAATACATGAATGATAGAAAATGAAACGATTTTGCTTTTCATATGGCTAATGATATAAATTATTGATATTTACCGTTCAAGTAGTGTTACTCACCAGGTAAAGTTTCCAGCCAATGCTGATGAATTTCTTTCAACAAGGGTCGCAAAGCCGCAACGTAATAAGCACATGTCTGTATAATAAGGGTATAAACATGTATGAATTGAGTTTGATTCCTTTGTACCATTGCAATAAACTAATTGTAAGAGTTGTTAAATCCCTCTTGAATTAAACCATCAAAGACTGTTACTTAATATGTTCAAATTTTGCATCAACAGTAATATTTGTGAACAGCAGGACTGTTTCAAAGAAGGCCTCGACGATACTGCTGTATAACCATGTTAAAAATTCATTTATATTTGTGATGCAATGTTTATGGGGAAAAAATGAACACCAATCAATGAATTATTCTATCAATTTTCTTTCTTTCTTTGCCTTTTGGGAGGGGATGGGGGAGGGGAACCTACTTGATACATGCAGGCAAGAGCGAGACCAACTGTGCAAACAATGCGAGTAGAATACTTAAATCCTGAAAAGTAGATAGAATAGGATGGAAATTAGTGAAGACATCTTATCAGTAAGTACATAAATATGCATAAGTTTTGCAATAAAGGCGTTGCAGCTTTTTACCTGATCCCTTCGGATTGTTCGGAAGCCAATCGAATTTAAGTTTTCGTATCAATTTCAAATTAAATTCCGATATATGTTACTCATAACAACAGGGGGAAGATATCCATATGTATGTATGTACGTGTGAAATGACCAGTTAGAGTCATGAATATGAATTTACAATAAAAATATCAGCAGATAATATTTTTCCTTAAAACACATAAATGTGAAGCAGCAAGAAGAACTGATAACAAAACTTCAGCAGTCCATCATTAAATAGGTACGACATGTAATTATAAAATTATTCGTTTAAAGATAAAGGTGAGTTCTGGTAATGCGATTGAATGTGAACGAAAAGGTGTGGAAATGGATCAGAAACAGTTGATCATAAATATAATGTACTACTACTACTACTATCATGTAGCATGTAAGTATTGGTGTGGACTGCAAGGTTCTGGAGTCATGAAAATCATAATAAATTTAGCCCAGTCCTGGTAAAGTAACAAGCACTGTACACATCAAGATTATATTAGACTACACAAATGGTGTCAGTGCTACTATACCTTGATTTCCTTATCTTTCTATGCTCATTACTCAGCCATTATCCATTTTCATTCGAAATTGTTTTGCACATGACATTTATTTGTAATCTTGAACATTCATTGTAAGTTTCGTTTGATTCTGTGAGCATTAATGTTCTTTTTTTACCAGAACTCAAGTTTATCTTTAACAATAAATTTATGATTTTACATCAAAATCGAAACAGAATTGTAAAAGGAATAATATTAAAGAAAGTTTACCTGGTATGTTTGGATAAATGATTCTGAAAAGGGTCGTTACTGCTCCGCCTGACTTGTTCCTACTGGAATTGAACGAAACAGTAAACACACCTGCAGAGTCTAGATACTAGTCTTATCTTATCTTGTCTGATTAATAATCATAACTATTATTATACACCCTTCATGTGTATGTTATTATTACTTTAATTACCACAAGCTGTCTCAGTTTTGAGAAGAACAAGCACTGCTTGAAGAAAAGTTTACAAGAACATAATAATTTAAGTAATACCCGAGGGAAAAATTAATTCAAGTCATAAATATAGTTCGACCCCCATAGTTCGAGAGAGGGAAATTGAAATTGAAAACATAATGTTAGTACCGTCGGGGTAAATTTCCGGTTGTGCATGAATTCGCGTATTGCCAAGTGATACACAGTTCTTACTACACACTTTAATAGGCAATGCAATACGTGTGCTCAAAATTAAAGGCAAATTTCAGGCAAGAGCTTGGTAGCATTTTAATCAAATAAAACTTCAAACGTTTGCCAAGTTCTTACCTTGCCCACGCGGTGGCGGGCAACAACAGATACCGAACTCGAACGCAGTAGTGGGTTTCCTCAAACTGCCTTTCACACTAGATGGAAAATTAAAAAGGAAGCATCAAATTATACGTGTGTGATGGTCTACTTTGATAGGTTTCATGCAGTTAAACCATGACTGTGTGTAAATCCACGTTGAATATTGACAAATATTGGATATCAAAAGCACATGTTTCACGCGGTTAAACTATGTATACATCTACGTTCAATGTTGATTTTACACCACATTGATTATTATCGTCTAGTTTGTCACCCCAAAACTGTCCATTTCTGTTCATGTTATACTTGTTACCGTATTAATTACTTGCTGCCTCTGTGTGTACAAATCGGACGTTTGAATACACGTCAGTGAACTAGCGATGATTATCTGAAAGTTTGGTTACTAGTAAGTAGTAGAGAAACATCAAATTGAGCAGGGGTGTATCCAGCAAGCGTGACCCTCCTTCTTCCACGTATGACCAGTACTTTGTTTAATAAGTTCTAGATACACCACAGGTTGGTTGGTTGGTTGTTTTCTTCGTATTTTGTAGATCACATTAGTTAGGGGTGGCATTGAATCTGTCAACATGCTGATCAGTATCAGAAACTTAAACTTTTCTTGGATATGTTTTTCTAAACCTTTTCAACTGATCGATATTGATAAAGATAATGATGATAATAGTGTTGGTGATGATGATGATGACGACGATGATGATACTAATAATATTGATAATAATCGTAATGATAATAATAATGATGATAATATTAATATTCTTAATAATGCTACTACTACTGATGAAAATGATGACGATGAAAATATTGAAGGAATAGTCGGGTTCTGTTGCAGAGGGCGCTACACTAAATAATTTTTTGTGAGATAATTAAAACAAAAAAATGAAAGAACATACAATTTAAATGACAAAATCATCTTTGTCTGATAAAAATCGGTTCAGAGACAGCTGAAATATCCATAAATATAACGATTTCTAATACTTGTGTACCACCACAAATATTAGATAATTTGAAAAAGCCGTTGAAAAACGAAATAGCGCGTTTTACGTCGTATTTCAGCCAATGCCGATGTTGTTTTTTTTTGTTGGCATTTTTGTGTTGGTTAAATTACGCACACAACCAGCTGGCCCATGTATTGTTATTTTAATTAAATAATTAATTAACGGTCACCGTATTCTTTTTGGAAAAATGAGTTGAATTGGTATAATCGTATTGGCTAAATTTCACACATTTTGGGGTCTAAAATTACCTTCATAGCAATTTTAGGTCCTAAAAGGGCACTAGAAAATGTCATAGATAGGAATAAGAGCAAAAGTCACACACTTTAAGGGCCCACTGCACTACTGGTAGCTACTTGCGCCCTCTATATAACAAACAATGCCTAATCGGTGACCATTGGTCCCCCATGATCCTCTTTTTCTTATGTTAAGTGAGAGCTGAGTTGATGAGATAACCACCTGTCCAGTGACCTTGTAGAGCGGTTTAATCCCTCCTGTAAACTACGGCAGATAAGCTTTAAAGGCATTTGCGGTCTGAAAACAGAACTCAATTATACCTTTAATATGAAAAGATAACAACAACAACAATAATTACAGTAGTAGTACATGGAGTATTAAAAGTAATAGTAGTAGGAGTAGTATTAATATCAGGAAAGTAGTAAAAGTAGCAGTAATAGTAGTATTTACATTTGTAATGTCTCTAAGCGCTTTACAGTTAATAAGCGAATCGCTCATGCCAATTTTCTATTTCGAAATAGGAAATGGGCCTACGTAAATATTGTGTACTTCACACATGTCACTAATCACTTGGGAAAGGCCATCAGATAACACATACTGTATACATATACTCTACTAACGACCAACCTTTCCATGCGAATTAAACTATACGACCGAGAGACCGTTTAAAGAGAAGGTTCATTGACATTTTAAAAATATTTAAAATATACCTCTACAGATTGCTGAGAATCTTAAGAACATAAGTGGAGTAAATTAAATGAAATGTTGATGCCCTATCCAGAACCCATTTACAGATTGGAATGCCGACGATAAAACGCATGCGATAGTGCGACGTCACTGAATGAACTACTCTACTTCACACATTTGGGACAATGTAGGATACCTATTACAATTTTTAGATATGGGTTTAACTTTGTTTGAATATTTACCGCCAGTGGTAATATTTCCTTTATATTGGCACTTAAAAGATAAAGTTGAGTTCTGGTCACCATGCGATTGCATTACAAAAGAAACGGTATGGAATCGATTAAATACTTGATAATGATGTCAATAACAAATTATCATTTATTTAATATTAATTGTAGAAGTCTCCAACACAAGTTTGATGCATTGTCTGTACTTATAATGTCATAACGTAAGTTTCAATTCTTATGTTTCGGAGACATTGGTAAGGGATGAAAATTTGCAATATTCTCTGTGCAATTTCGATAATCATGAATTTGTCGGGAAAAAATAGAAGACTTAGACGCGATTCCTTAAAACGGACTAACTGATGTTACTGATAGGTCTTCATCATTATTAGATAATATTTTTACAAATGATTCTGGCCATATCTATTCTGGAATATTATTAACTTACATTTCTGACCACTACCCGGTATATAATATTTGTGAGACTGCTATTCAACAAAAGTACCCGACCTCTGAGTCGATCGACCTATCAATTTAAAAATAATCATTGAAATAATTAAGACAGATTTACGACAGTTCATTGAGATAATCATTGAGAACCATTCATAGTATACACATACTTGCAATACACATTTCCATGGTTACCTGATCTGCAGTAAGAAATCGTCTGCACATGCGCACTATCCTCCTGATGAAGTAAATTTCGAGCCCAATAAGAGAGAAGACAACGGGTATGTCTACAGCTCCTTGTATATCGCCCTCTTCCGTCTAAAAGAGAAAATAATCGTGCAATCCCACTCATTCTGGGCCCTGTTTCATAAAACGTGTTATCAATAACAAATTCCTGTTACTGCTATAAGCTACTGAAATCGTTGCGTTTGATTGGCTGAGAGCAAATTTGTCATAGAAGTTTAGCATTTGTTATTCACAAACAGGGGCCAGATTCTGGCTGTTTCTAACCGCACGAATTCACACCCGGAAAAAAAAGGGGGAAAAAGAGTGTGTATCCTTGCGTAATTGCGTGAGTGGGCGAGGAGGTCCCGAAGACAATTCGAGAACAGTCCCGGGGAGTATAATTAAACTCGACACTTGGTCTAAGATCACGTTTAACTAATGGACAAGTTAGACCTTCTTTGGTTAATCATTTAAAGTGTGATTTTGGACAAAATCTAAAACCCAGCGACGACCGGGTTTGATTGTTTTAAAGTATAATCCTGGCCTTTAGATTAAATTAAAGTAATAACCCGATGACAATTCACGTCAATTATTATGGACAAATTATATATGGATGGAAAGATTTTCTCTTGAAAAACACGAATAATTTGCTAAAAATATCATAGATATCATGGAAAGGCGTAAAGTGCAACTTTGTGGTTAGCTGTGTCTCGCATGTGACGTCACGAATCTTGACGCTCTACGGAGGACAGCTGAAGGCAGATAATCTGGATCTCAAAATCAACATTTTTGAAAGATGTTTAATGCGGGCCCAAACATATTTTGAAGAGGGGAGTTGTTATATTTGTTCAGGAAGGCCTTCCCTTCGCAATGATATGAATTTTGTATCAACTCAAAACACTTTTGATTCTTTGGGTGACTACTTTAAATACATCTAGCCCTTTCTCTCACTCTCTCTCTCTTCCTCTCTCTCATTCTTCATCCCTCTCTCTCGCCCTCCCTCTCCTTTTATCCATCCCTTCCTCCCTCCCTCCCTCCCCTCCTCTTGTTTTTTTCATGCATTTAATCCAATCTAATCAATAACCTTGGAACCAGGGGCATGGGGGCGTGTCCAATCAAATGACAAAACAAAAAATTGGGGAAGAGATAAACGGGAGTGGGCAAGGTTGAAGACAATGTGAAATAAGATAAATACCACCCATCCCATCCCGTCCCTTATTTGTCCTTGGTCTCTCACATGTCATCCAAATAGAACATGTTGTCGTGACCACCCCCCCCCCCCGCCCTCCTGATTCGAGAGCCCAGAGCCCTCACCAACGACTAGACCAATTCTGAACCACTGATTGTAATTGTCCTTAATAGGTTGCAAGCGAGTGACTCACCCCGAATGGACATGTGATGAATTTGGAGATAGTAAAGAACAACCTGTATAAAGATAATACAAGAAACACTTCATTTCCAAATTAATAAGGACAATTAAATTGCTGTACCATACTTTCTCAATAAAGTGATACCTCTGAACACCGACGAGGTCAAAATACTGACAGGTAGTTTCAGGTCGGACTCGATAGGTTTAATGAATTTATCAAAACATATTGTATTTGTATTTGTAACTATCAGGAAATCATTTTACATGGTATATTAATATAGTATTTCACAAAACATAAGTATGATAACAAAATATGAAAAATTGAACACAAATTTGGCAAGTTATATAGTTGAATCTACTTGTAATAATATACCAAATAAAAACGGAAATATTACCTCACTAAATACATAAAACAATCCACTTTTAATAAGCATGTGGAGTTTTTGCTAATAATCCACAATTTAAAAACAATCTTAACTCAATTAGAGACAAAATAAAAATTCATAACAGTCACACTCTTTTAGAAATTCTTTCTAGCTTTTAATGACCTATATGTTAATTGTCCTACTTTATCCGTATCAATTTGAGGTCATGGTGGACTCCCCATCCCCCAAAAAGCTTTTTTAATTTTTGTATTATTCATTTCCATCTTGTTTTCTTTCTTCCTTTCTTTCTTTCTCTTTAAGGGGTGAAACGAGACTGTCTTTAGGGAAAGTCCACCGTAATAAAACGCTTGTATTAATAAAATCAAAAAGCGAAGCAAACAAATTAGTGAAAGTTTGAGCAATATCCGATTACAAGTAGGAAAGTTGTGAATTTGTGAAGTTTTCTAATAGTTAAACACAAATGGGCAACACTGGGACACATCTTGCGAGGTCCTCACCAATTTTCCTTTTACATTAAATGTCTCAAATTTCCATTTATCTAAGTTAATGATGATGGAATAGATTTTTCCATAAAACATATGTGTAGAAACACATTTTCAATAATTATATTTAGGGTGCCCGTATGGTTGAATATTTTCTTGAGGGAAATTTTGCATTTCTGATTTGTTTTAGCAGCGAGCAAATGGGAGGGGATCTCGCAAGGTAAGTCACAGAGTTGCCAAATTGTGTTTGATTGATCGCATAACTGTCTAATTTGATTTTAAATCGGAATTTGCGAAATCTTTTACTGACCTGTTTCTATCAATTTTCTGCTGCTATCAAAACCAACTTAATATCAGGGTAGATGTCTCTTTAAATGGTTGTAGACTTACCAATTGGTGGTATACACAAGTCCAACCACATTCATCGGAATATTGTCAAAGGAGACGCAAAGTGGGAACGGGTAGAAAATGAGACCGACCAAGCAAATCGAAATATATTTCAATATCTCAGACACAAAGGCTGTGGATGAAAAAATGAACGACAGAAAGTAACAAAGATAAAGAAAACAAGAAAGAAAGAAAAAAGAAGGAAAAGAAGAATTTAAAAAAGGTGAAAAAAAGGCCTAATTATAATATGCGATGATAAAAATCAATATCTAAGGCTATTCAATACTTGGAAATGAAACACTACAAACACTGTTTCTTTGACTAACTTATTTTTTCTAACAAATATCCACAGTCAATGAGTAAACTATAATTAAATTAAATGAAAAGAATTATCATCAAAGATCTATCCGGATTTAAAATATAATGCATGAGCCAGGTCTCCAAATGTCAACGAGATTTGTTTTCTGTTTTGGAGCCAAAACAAATTAAATTCTCGACTTTATTAAAAACTGCAATGGCTGTATTTAAATATGGGGTCTAGGGGCAAAGCCCCGGCGTGGTTCAAGGGGCGAAGCCCCCGAAGCTCAAGGGGTATGGGCATCAGTGGCGGATCCAGGAATTTCTTACCGGGGGGGGGGCACAAAATGGCATGGAGTGAAATATATGTAAAACGATAAAGCGACAGAACGAGGCTTTAACGGCGAGGGAGCGGAGCGACCAAGCAGGGGGTGGGTCTGGGAAGGGGTTCTGGGCCCCCTCCCAGAGTAAGAAGTATTTGCAATTTTAGAACCAAATTAGACGCATTTTCAGGCACTTCCTGGAGAAATACGACGTAAAATTCCTTTCACCTACCCCTTCCAAGAGTAGGGATCTTTTGCAATTTGAGAACCACATTTGGCGCATTAATATCCACCGGCACTTCATGGAAATTGGCCTTCTTATTGGTTAGAAGTTAGAGAAAAGTGATCTGTCACGTCGTGAGACGTTGTATAAATTATGCTTTGATGTCGCACAATGCACAAAGACGGGGGTCCGGTACTTCACCAGTAGTACTTGCAAAATTATCTCGAGTGTATAAACTGTGTCGTTATCAGGGTCGTCGCTAGATCTTTTTAATTGGGGGGGGGGGGGGGAGGATGTAGAGGCCGCCGATTACCGACAAAACCAGCCACCAATATTATTAACGACAAATATAAAAATGCCAATGTCCAAATGTCTACAAATTTAACCCTATAAACCCGGGGCCAGGAACTACGTTATTTTTCAGTTTTTCACCTCCCGCGCGAAGCGCGGAAGCTTTGACACTTCATTGAATATTAGAGAAAGAAGACGCTCCGTTGTACTGTTCTCGATAATTAATTCTTGTTTCGCCCCTCCCGCGCGAAGCGCGGAAGCAATGACGTTTCATTTAATTATTAGAGAAAGAAGACGATTCATTGTACCGGTCTCGACTCTTAATCCTTGTCTGAATTCAGTCCCCCTCCCCCGTCCGCGCGAAATGTGGAAGCTTTGACGTTTCAATAAATTATTACTCTTAACCCTTGTCTGAATTCACTTTCGCCCAACCTGCGCGAAGTGCGGAAGCTTTCACGTTTCATTAAATTTATAGAGAGAGAAGACGATTCATTGTACCGTTGAACCGTTCTCGACTCTTAATCCTTGTCTGAATTCTGTTTCCCCCCCCCCCTTTCGCGCAAAGCGCGGAAGCTTTGACGTTTCAATGAATGATTACAATTAATCCTTAATTTCTGAATTCATTTTCGCCCATCCCGCGCGAAACGCGGAAGTTTTCAAGTTTCATTAAAATATTATAGAAAGAAGACGAATCGTTTTAGTGTGTCTTTGTCTGAATTCAGTTCCCCATCCCACGCGAAGCGCGGAAGCTTTGTCGTTTCATTTAATTATTACTCTTAATCCTTGTCTGAAATCATTTTCGCGTTTCATTAATTATTAGAGAAAGATTAGGACGATTCGTTATACCGTTCTCGACTCTTAATCCTAGTCTGGAATTAGTTTTTCCCCCCTCCCGCGCGAAGCGCGGAAGCTTTGCCGTTTCATTAAATTATTAAAGAAAGAAGACGATTCGTTGTATATACCGTTCTCTACTCTCATTCTCGTCTGAATTCAATTCCCCCTTAAGGGCCCCTTAACTGTATATGTGCAATGTTACATGATGCAAGTATGGAATGCATGGAATGCTCGTTCGCAAATCTGTGCATGCTCAGCCCGAGTGGTGGGTAGCCGCATGTTATCTCCCGGCAGTGCTTTGCACAGTAGCTTTTGGATGTTTCCATTTACTGTACCACTTTTTTCTGACCTACCTGACACACTTAATCTGACACACTTTTTTCCTATTCATTTTCTACACAGAGGCATTTTCAAGAGCCATGATCTGTGATTGGCTATTTTGCTAGTAAATATTCATGATTATGCAAATTATTAAGATCGCGCGCACAGTTCATATTCTTTGTTTTGGTCTTGCGAAAAATACGATCAACTTTTCAAAAAGTTCCTGAAAATGACACTTTGAGCGAGAAAATGTTATAATGAGTCAGAGCTCTTTGTAATTTCTGAGGAATGCATGTTGATTTGGTAATATTTAAATGTTATGAAACGGACGTATATTTCTTCTCAGGACCATGTTTTGAGGGGGTAACGGGTTTATTTTTCGCCCAATGAAGTAACTCCGGGAAGCTCCAACACCGGCGCCGCATGCGTCGGAGCTTCGGGTGGTTTCCTTGGTTTCTCGTGGGGGCTAGTAAAACAGCCGATTGGGTGATATTATCGTGAAATCTGCAAAGGGAGTACTTACAATTTTTACATCATAGGGTGCACGACTCCTCAGGGCTCAACTCCAATCACTTGAATGTATAATTTGAAGAAGTCTTCGATGGGAAAAAAAGGTTAATTCGGGGTACTACACCAACGATTCTTCCATGTCGCAGCGTTGATTCAAAATAGCGATGAGAAGGTACGCATGCGCGGCAGTGGCAAAGAAAATATGAATATTCAGGCTATCGAGCGCCGATCGCTCGAAATCGCTGAATATGCACGAGGTTGAGAAGGGCTCTGTATGTTCGAGTCGTGCATATTCAGCGATTTCGAGCGATCGGCGCTCGATAGCCTGAATATTCATATTTTCTTCGCCACTGCCACGCATGCGTACCTTCTCATCGCTATTTTGAATCAACGCTGCGACATGGAAGAATCGTTGGTGTAGTACCCCGAATTAACCTTTATTTCCCATCGAAGACTTCTTCAAATTATACATTCAAGTGATTGGAGTTGAGCCCTGAGGAGTCGTGCACCCTATGATGTAAAAATTGTAAGTACTCCCTTTGCAGATTTCACGATAATATCACCCAATCGGCTGTTTTACTAGCCCCCAAGAGAAACCAAGGGAACCACCCGAAGCTCCGACGCCTGCGGCGCCGGTGTTGGAGCTTCCCGGAGTTACCAATGAAGGTGATTGCAGCCATTATGTTACTGCACGACTGCTAGCCACGGCTGTGGGGCCTCAGCCGCCCCGCCGGTCAGCTGATCGACCTGCTGGGGCCTAATCATACAACATGACTTTGTCTACATAGGACTTGTTTGTAGCATCAGAATTAGAAGTTCAGACGTTGGTCTAGGCCTACATTACCATGTACAGAAACACTGTACAACTTTTACTAATGTAGGCTTAGACGTACGGCTGAACTTCTAATTCTAACATTTTCTCGCTCAAAGTGTCATTTTCAGGAACTTTTTGAAAAGTTGGTCGTATTTTTCGCAAGACCAAAACAAAGAATATGAACTGTGCGCGCGATCTTAATAATTTGCATAATCATGAATATTTACTAGCAAAAAAGCCAATCACAGATCATGGCTCTTGAAAATACCTCTGTGTAGAAAATGAATAGGAAAAAAGTGTGTCAGATTAAAGTGTGTCAGGTAGGTCAGAAAGAAGTGGTACAGTAAATGGAAACACCCGTAGCTTTTGGAAAGGAATTAGTGCCACTGTTAGTGGCCACTATAAGGCCCTTAGTGACTATAAAAAAACATATGCTCTTCCTGGCTATTTGGGAATGGGTCAGTTTGCAAGAGATAATGGAGAAACTAGCATTCTGTGATATCACGAACATTTATACATTACTTGTGAAAATAAGTCATGGTTCAATTTTATTGGGAGGGGGGGGGGGCTGGCGCCCCCCAAGCCCCCCCCCCCCCATCAGTACGCCAGTGACTATGACTACTACTACTACTATTACTACTACTACTACGACGACGACGACGATGACGAAAATAGATATGTCTTGCCAAAGAACATTAATAGGGACTTTTAGAATGAGTGGACGAGAACACGACGAACGCCGACTGATCATGCGTGTCAACGTACTCAACTGCCCATGTTGACTACAATTAGAAATCTTTTAGATTGCACTCGACGATATACATGCATGCAGGAAGTAACACTATGAACATGGCAGACAAAGAAAGAGGACAAAATATACAGTTCCACATTCTACCCTCAACAATAGGCCATTTTCGTAATGTAACCAAATTTAATACATAGGTCTTTGTGAAGTGCCTCAATACAAATTATTTCATTCACCTGATAGGAATAATAGTATTTCAATAGTCAGAATGCAACTGCATATATTAAGTGTTGCTAGATAGGTATAATGTTTGTCCAACCTGGCAACAACTATGCAGTTAGGATCCTGTCTATTGAAATACTATTGAGGCACTTCACAAAGACCTATGCATTAAATTTGGTTACATTACGAAAATGGCCTATTGCTGTGGTAGAACATCCCTTCACTGCTATTATGCAAAAATGTGTAGAACAGGTGAATATGCATGTGACACCTGTTCTACACATTTGTACATAATAGCAGGGAAGGGATGTTCCTTTGTCTACCTGAGGAACTGTGTATTTTATGCGCACGCGGCATATACTAGTACTGTACTAGATTTAGGAAAATCAAGGTTGACACCCTCTCGATCGCCGACTGAGACGACGTGATGCATGCACAGTGCCTTAAAATGACGTCACACGTTGCAGTCAAAGCTTCAAACGTGCAAATCTAAAAGTCCCTAATAGGGACTTTTAGATTTGCACGTCAACATCTTTGACTGCAACGTGTGACGTCATTTTAAGGCACTGCGCATGCGTTACGTCGTCTCAGTCGGCGATCTAGAATGCGTTAACCTTGATTTTCCTAAATCTAGTACATACATACATACATATTGATATTTATATAGCGCCTTTACATGCTCAAGGTACTAGTATGCCGCGTGCGCATAACATATACAGTTCCTCAGGTAGACAAAGGAGCATCCCTTCCCTGCTATTATGTAAAAATGTGTAGAACAGGTGTCACATGCATATTCACCTGTTCTACACATTTTTACATAATAGCAGTGAAGGGATGTTCTTTTGTTGAGGATAGAATGAGGAACTGTATATTTTGTCCCCTTTCTTTGTCCGTGATGTTCATAGTGTTACTTCCTGCATGCATGTATATCGTCGAGTGCAATCTAAAAGATTTCTAATTGTAGTCACCGTGGGCAGTTAAGTACGTTGACACGCATGATCAGTCGGCGTTCGTCGTGTTCTCGTCCACTCAATCTAAAAGTCCCTAATACCGCGGTGTGACCTTACCTTTGACAATGGGGTCTATTAATCCACCCGGTTTGGGGGCTCCCCGGAGAAATAACTGCAGAACGGAACCACTCATGGCGATGAAGGAGAACAAATAGGCCAGACGGTGATCATAATTCCTCAGGAAGTTTACAGGGCTGACAAAATATAAACGAGATAATGATAACAGCAACAACAATAATAACAACAACATAAAACATGTCATTACTATTGCTATCATTATCAATATTATTATGATTTGTATTATTATTATCATTATTATTATTATTATTATTATTATTATTATTATTATTATTATTATTATTATCTTTATTATTATTATTGTCATAATTTAATTAGAAGTAGTATCTTTATTATTACTATCATCATTCTCGTCGTCATCATCATCATCATCATCATCAACATTTCAATATAATGACATGATGTGTGATTTACAGATGAAACAAATAATGGAATAGCAGTTGACGTGTAGCTTAAGTGAGATATATTGTGTGTCGCTTTGGTAGAGAATGAAAAATTGGGATTTTAAAACACGAAAAAGAGATTTTTAGAAATGTAAAAGGGAAGAAATTAATGTACGTGGGTTCACAAAACTGAACCACCTTTGGAGGTAATTCAAAATAAATTTTCCATCATTCTACCGCATAGCTAACGAACAAGTGAAAGTGTCACATCAAATCATTTGCACCAACAAACATGTGGTGTATGATAAATGTTTTATAAAGGCTGGTATGACAGTAATCTAGACTACTTAGGAGACCATTTTATGAGAGATGGTTTCGGTCAAGAGAATACATCATATCGCAGATGCACTCCGAGCGACGAAAATGCAATGCTCTGGTTGACTATGCAAGGCTTAAACGAGCGATACCACTTGTATGGGGCAATAGGTATAAGTATAGTAATTTATTATACATAGTAGGAAATTTGGTTTCCACTGGTTACAAAGTAATACAATACAAGCATATAAATAAAATATTACAAGACAGTGTTAAATATACACATATGACAAACATACATAATGAATCAGGTGATTAATGAGTAAGCCAAGGTATAGGGTAGTAGAAGAGATAATATCAGATTCTATCAAAACTAATATGAAGCTGAATTATGTACTATGATTATTCCATAGTAAATCTTAAAATAATAATGAATACATTAATTATTATCATTATAATTATTTTTATTGTTAATATTATTTTTTATTATTATCAATTACCGTTTTCAGTAGTAATATTACGGACATCGTTATAGTTTAAAAGAAGAATTTATGCATTATTGCACTAGACAAAAATGTGACAACAAATTTCCTTATATGTTAGTTGCAAATGAAGTAAAACATTTTACTGATATGAGTAGCAATCGTTTCTATAGAAAATTGTTTCATAAAGAAAAAAAATATACACTGTTGCTCATAACGGTGGAATATTTTTTTTTATCCCAATTTATGGAATTATTTTAAAAATAATTTAAAAATACTAGATTTAGATAATAGTATACAGTCTCAGATTTTATTGAATAATAATTTGCCAATATGTGTTTTGCGTGACTGCTAAAGCATGTATATTATGCTACTATGTTTATCAACTAGGGGACCTATGCCCTTAAGTCATAAAGGACAGTAATGAGGATTAATGCCTCACAAAAGGGCTCTGATATAGCACATCGACACGGTGTTGATCCTGGGGCCTCACAGTTACGAGGCCATTGCTTTGTCACTGAACCATGACTGTACGCAGCGGGGGCTTTGGTAGGGGGCAGTTTCCATAAATTAAAAAAAAAACAGAAAATGCAATAAATTTTCAATAATTTATTGCATTCTACCCCGGTCCCCAACATAAAAAAATCCTCTGGACGGCCATGCATTATGGCTCAAGGCATGGGCACACAGAAGATTTTTTTATGTTGGGGACCGGGGTAGAATGCAATAAATTATTGAAAATTTATTGCATTTTCTGTTTTTTTTTCAATTTATGGAAACTGCCCCCTACCATAGCCCCCGCTGCGTACAGTCATGGTTCAGTGACAAAGCAATGGCCTCGTAACTGTGAGGCCCCAGGATCAACACCGTGTCGATGTGCTATATTAGTGCCCTTTTGTGAGGCATTAATCCTCATTACTGTCATTTATGACTTAAGGGCATAGGTCCCCTAGTTAATAAACATAGTAGCATAATATAGATGCTGTAGCAGTCACGCAAAACACATATTGGCAAATTATTATTCAATAAAATCTGAGACTGTATACTATTATCTAGATCTAGTATTTTTAAATTATTTTTAAAATAATTCCATAAATTGGGATAAAAAAAAATATTCCACCGTTATGAGCAACAGTGTATGTACAATATCAGACAGAACAATAATTTGTATGTTCCTAATTATGAATATAATTTTTCTAAATGTACTATTAAATACTCAGGGCCGATCTTGTAGAATAATCTCTCGAATGCCTTAAATTGTACCAAAGGTCTTTCAGTTTATAACGAACATATAATTCATGTTAATTTGCCTTCTCCCTTCCTCTCCCATTCCCTTTCCCCCACCCTTTATTGTTTTGTTATTTTAGTTGTTGTTGTTGTAATGTTAGTTACTTAGTTCATGTTTGAAATTTGACTTTCATATATATACTTAAGGGATCGACCATAGAAAGACCTGTATGCTTATTCTCGATCCCAACATTATCTGTCATGTTATATTTATGTTGTAGTCTTTTTTTTTTTTTGTATTTCTATCAGATTGTGGAAATAAAATTGAATTGAATTGAAAAATAAATTCATTCCTTCGAGAACTGTACTTAGGCTAAACACATGTTGCATTTATTGGAGAAAACCCAAATTGCGAGAGTTTAACTTAAAATTACTGTATAATCTATTGCCAGTAAAAAGTAGTCTTTAAAATGGGGAATGTCTAATAACGATGTATGCACAACATGAAATATGAAAGAGGATATAAATCACGCATTTATAGAATTAGCCCTTCATTAAACACCTGAAAGAAATATTACGAGATATATACCAAGTAAAGATATTGACGTTTAGTATCCTACACTTGCTCAAAATAAATTGTGTAAATCACTGTACTTTATTCCTAACTATAGCTTTTCGGACCATTTACAAATTAATTGTCGATCGGAATATTACAGGAATAAACAAAAGAAACGTTGCTTCAAATTAATTTTCCAAAGAGAAATGTAAAAAGATAGCAAAGTCAGTCAAATATTGAATTATCAGTATAATTATTATGTTAACGATAATTCAAATGCTTTGGAAAAACTTAATTTTAATTTTTTGCTATGCCAATTATGATGAGTTTGTCATTATGTAAATTTGATTTGTATCATTGTAGCTTTGAATGTTAAACATGTATACTTAATAAATCCTCTGATAAGGGAGGCAAAGAGGAAAATACAGTCTCTTGAGGTGGTCCAGTTTCCGGTTCAGAGGCGAATCGAGAGCCAGACTGAAATCTCTGCTGGTGTTCTCCAAGGCACACAACACGGCACAATTGTATTTTTAGCCATCATCAATGATGCTTCCTGAGACATTGTCGATCCCATCATGAGGTACAAATATGTGAATGACCTCAATCTCCTGGAGTGTCGTGATCAAAGGGAGGACTCCAACATCCAAGAAGCCGTAACATCTTTGAGAGATTGGTCACTACGCAATCAAATGAGATTTAACCCCCGGAAATGTATATCTATGGAAGTGTGCTTCATGAGAGATGCCCCTCTCCCTTCAACTGTTGTCCTTGATGATGGAGTGATAGCGCAACAGCAGTGTGTGAAACTCCTTGGTGTGTTTATTCAGCAGAACCTCAAGTGGGACAAACAGGTAAATGAGACGCTGAGGAAAGCATATGCAAAACCCCACATGCTTCGACTACTGAAGCATCACAACGTCCCCACAAGTGATCTCCTGACCGTCTTCAACTGTTATTAGGCCAACGATCGAATCCGCCGTCCCCATTTGGAATACAGGGCTCACCAAGGAACACGTCAGAAAACTTGAGAACATCCAGGAAAGGGCACTGAAAACTATCCTTGGACGTGAATTCACACATTATGATGACGTTCTCATCCTTATATATATATATATATATGTACCCTGGTTGATCGGCGAAAACAGATCCGTCTTCAATTTGCTAAGGAACTAAATAAACCAACATGACCCATCCATCACCTGATGCCTCAGGTACCGGAAACCGCCTTTGAAATCGAATCGAATTGAATTGAATTGAATTGACTCCTTTACCACCATCAAAAACATTGAAACAAAAGATATGTAAATGTACAATGACAATGCCAATATAACATAAATTGAAACATGACATGAGTTAAAATACATGGTCTACAGCGATTTACATTATAAAATTTAAAAGAATGGTTATAAGTAAATTTAGTGTCAAGAGTAAAACAATAAATGACTATTTACAATGAGTTTGTTATCGATGGTAAAATAGAGTAAAAAATAGCACATGTGCTAGTCGAGCCTGACTCTCGTTATCTAAAGCCTAAAATAAAGTCAAAGAAAAATACACGATGGGTTTCCAAATCAGAACAAACAAACTCAGGGACAGCCCTATCCCATACTCAGTAAACATGTTAAATGAACTCTAAGTAAACATGTTAAATGAAGTCTAAAGTAAACGTAAACAAAATGTTGATTTTCTTCTTCTTCATGTAACTGAGATGTAACTTGCAAAGCTTCCTTTAACATGTTTTTTATATATATTTTACCAGTATGTTTTGCGGTCGACACTCGGCCAGATTGTGCGTGTGCACATGGGGGGGGGGGGAGGAGTAAAAGATACACTCTGTTATTTTCTCTATGGAGGGAGATTAATCATTAGTCAGGCAATAATTTGTTGTTTTTTATTCTTTTTCTTTTCTTTTCTTTCTCATTCTTCTTCCCCTTTCCTTGTTCTTCTGTCTTTATTCTAGTTCTTTTTCTCCTTCTTTTACTCTTGTTCCTTTTTCCTCCTTTTCCAACTTCTCATTCCTTCATTTTTTTTTCTTTCTTTACTATGATTTACCAACAGTCAAAATGTCAACTAACTATACTAACTACTCCACAGTATAATAATGATAAATATCAATTTTGATGCAGTCTAAATTTGTAATATGCAATATGTTTTTGATATTATATTTCCCAATGTATATTACATTTTTGTACCAATGTTTTTTATGTCTTGTTTAAAATAAATATTTGTCAACTCATCGCAACTCGGCTATGCCGCACTGATGTTTTCATTAATAAACCAGATATCTATCTATCAGATACTCTGAACGCGTCTGGCTTTTGAGGCGAGTTGAACCGCACGGTTATTGTTGTTTACATGCTACAGAGAAGATACTGCACATTAAAACAAAAAAATCACTCAAAATACCCAGTTTATTTTTTATTGCCCGTAAGCATTCTTTAAATATCCTGCAAAATATTTATCAAGACATCTCTGACTTTGCAAATAATAATTAGACTTATTAGAACCTACTAAGTTTGAAAATGATCCTCTGATAAACTATGTAAAACATGTCGCCTCCCAAAATTAAGTTAGAGTGTTTCTCAGTGTCTTTCAGCCAACGCCTCACAAGCCTATGTCAATTCATGTAAACCTCATATTATTATTTTTCTTTTAGTTTTCTACTTTTGTTAAACTCCTGAAGGAAAAAAAGAAAAAGTTCACAGAGATGACAAAGACTTAACTCCGTTTCGTTGACGATCAGCCATGCATTAAGTCTTTCGTCTTCTTTGTGCATGGCTGATCCTCAACGAAACGGAGTTAAGTCTTTTGTCAACTATGTTTGTTGCTACGGCAGGCAGCAAGTGAAAACGAATTCGTTTAATCAAATTATGGAAATGCAAGCATTAATTCAAACATACAGAACTTTGTTATTCCTGGCTCATTTTTCTGATTGAGGTGTCATATGAAAGGGCAAAAACGAAATTTCTAGAGATGAGATTTTAACTTTGAAATTCACATACCTCTCGCCATATGACTTTATGGTACCCTCTCTTCAAATTGTTTTAATCTCTCATGCGTGAAATATGCATCATATGACTAGAGTTGCATCAAATGAAAGAAGAGGATCTAAGCTTTAAAAATATGTGTCATTTATCAATTATAATTATGATTAAGTTATGATAAAACATCGATAATTCTCGGTTTCGTTTATTCTAGGACGCACTGTATTGCACAAAGTAATTTAACATTATACTCCAATATTAACAACGTTTAAAAGATTTAAAAAAAGAAGGAAAAAATTGTAAAGAATAAATTAAATGCAGATTAAAACAAATCCGTATCATATATTTTATGTTAATTAATACAACCCTTTAACCACTTTACCAAGAATATACTAGTGAAGGTCATAAATCAATTAATAACAATATAACTTTGCATTGTTTTGACTTACTAGACAAGACGTGGGCGCTGTCTTCGCCTGACATCCCCACACCTCTCCCCATGTTGGAAACAAGTCAGAAAGATGATCAGGACAATCTGTAGTAGAAAATAATGTTTGGTGTTGTTTTATAACAAACATAATAACAACGATAATAATGATAATGCACTTCACATCTTTCCTAACCTTTCCACACTAAGCCTTGTACGTTTGCCAACGCCTGATGTACTTTAGGGAGCTTCCCTCAGCCAACTCACAGAAGTAGCCTGGTCCTTTAAAAATATTTATGTCTGTGCTTTGTTTTGGTTTCGTCTGATGACACAATAGTCCATTAGACGGTGTCATATACCATGTACATGACCTGGAAAAGTTTATAAGTACAAGGTCTTTTTGTTGATTTGTGTTCTAGATGGGTATTGAAGTAAATTCAGCTTGGTTGCCAGCTTAGCAACCTTGAGCAACTTTTTTAATAGCCATATTAGCATAATCATCTAATTAGCATATGAGCAATATGTAATAAAGTTGCTAATCTCAATCCAGGAAGCCTGAAACCCTGGACAAGACGACTTTTCAAGGGTTTTCTATGACAAGGAATTCATTTATGACACCTATTTTTATTTTAAAGTAATACAATTGTCTTAAATAGCATAATTAGCATAAAATGTACAATATATGGACCTCAATGTCATTGTTTATCTATAAAGCCTAAAAATGGTGCAATGCAACATTTTAAATCACTTTTGAAAGATTAATCATTAATTCATGAGAAGATATTCCATGTATATGTAGTATAATTAGCCTAATTAGCATAATCATCTAATTAGCGTTGCTAATCTTAATCCAGAAAGATTGAAAACATAGATAATATGACTTTTCCAGGGTTTTCCATTACGAGGGATTCAGTTGTGATACCAGTTTTTATTTTTAAGTAATGCAATTGGCTTAATATGTAATTATTGTACTAATAAGCCTAATTAGCATAAATGTAGAATATAAATTATTTGGGACTCTATTTAGCTTCTCAAATTGTATGTCCAATGTGGTGGTTATCTTGGTTGAAAGGCAATGTTGTCGAACCTCATGAAATGTCTAGGAAATGGTCATCATACACATTGAAGGTTGGGCTTCAGTCATTGGATTAATAGAGAGACTGTCGGAAAGATGGTTAAAGCAGATGATAGTGATGGAATTGAATATGTGGTGAGACAGGTACGTACGTAGGCCAGGTATGTTGTATATAACAGTGCGAAATATGATCTGTCTATGTTTACCAAAGCTAGAACCATTGAGAGTACAAGCCCGACGTTGCTCAAGCTTGTGGCAGAATTCTTGGAAAAGTCATATTATCCATGTTTTCAGGCTTCCTGGATTAAGATTAGCAACATTATTACATATTGCACATGCTAATTAGGCTAATTATACTACATCTACATGGTATATCTTCTCATGAATTAATTATTAGTCTTTCAAAAGTGATTTACAATGTTGCATTGCACCATTTTTAGGCTTTATAGATAAACAATGACAATGAAGTCCATATATTGTACATATTATGCTAATTATGCTATTTAAGTCAATTGTATTACTTAAAAATAAAAATTGGTGTCATAAATGAATTCCTTGTCATAGAAAACCCTTGAAAAGTCGTATTATCCATGTTTTCAGGCTTCCTGGATTGAGATTAGCAACATTATTTCATATTGCACATAAAAATTATGCTAATTAGATGATTATGCTAATATGGCTATTAAATAAGTTGCACAAGGTTGCCAAGCTGGCAACCAAGCTGAATTTACTTCGATACCTCTATACTTCAATACTACAATAATAAAATGATGAAGTAGAAACTATACACAACGTTTACACTTTTCTTCATTGGAAACAATTACAGTCACATTTGTATAGTGCTTAATACTACGTTTCTAATTGCTGTACATCGTAAATATCATTATCTGGCCATTGGATTTAATTGCCAATTTGTACATGGTAGTGTACGAAATACAGCCCGATTCAATAAGCATAGAGGTAACCATAACAACGGGGAATAAAAAGCACAACTGACAAGAGCAATCCATGTAATTCCTTCTTTACTACCAGATCATAAAGGAATACAATTATGGCGACACAAGCTCAAATATTTAAATTTTAAATTCACGAGAGCATTTATTATTACTTTATTATTGCTTTTAGGCGTTTTGTTTTCACCACAGCACAATAAAGAATATTTATGCAGTAGCTTATTATCATTATATTAATATTTCCTTTTCAGAACTTTGCGTTACCATGTGAGAAAGGTGGCGAGGATTGGGGTACGCCGTATGAAAATAATAACAAAATATTGTACTAATATCAATCACCAGAGGAAGAGAAGGAAAAGGGGTCATTTTTGCATTATATGTGGGAGCAGTTAGGTTTCTCGGTAAAATAGGCTCTTATATTAAACTCTCATACGAGATGTCCCAGGTTCGATCCTTGCTTGGTGCTTGCTTCCTTGGAAAATGTGTTTTTTCCCACATTAGTCCTTCTCGACCAAGGTGTATTAACCAGATACGTAGCAATGTATGGGTGATCACAGTTACAGAGACGGTTTTATACTAATGTGGCTACCCTGGGTAAAACAAGACCAACATTATTATGGTTTCTCTGAGGTGGCGTGTAGTGGTTCATTCACTTCACCCTCAATTCACTCTCAAAACCCGGCACTCCCGTCTTGTGGCACGGCATTAATCAACATTTTCCACTCTCCACCCCGGGGTAAAAAGGGGGTAACTGGCCATTGCTTGGGCAATGATAATTGCAGGGTCCCCAAGAAGAACACTATTGATGATAAAGGGGGCTCCCTTGGTAAACATAAGTAATATAATAATTATAACTTACCGAGGCTAATGCATTGCCTATCATCCAAAAAATAGTAAGAGAAGATGTAGAAGCACAACGCTCTTGCTCTTGCTCAGCCTCAAAATTGTGATAATACTCCGACATCTTGGGTATGAATCGCCAGAATGAATTATATGTATACAATTGTCTATAATAGCAATTTTCCGTTACAGCAGTTTCACATGCATGCGAATGCAATTATGAACATGCTTAATAGCGTGTTCAATGATGCTGTTTACAGCGCATCGATACACATCGTAAAACTTGGCGCTAACCACGGAATTTGGCTATTCGTGCCGGGGTCCAGACAACTCGCCACAAAGACAACCCGCCCCAAGACAACCCGTCACAATACCCTGGACATCCCGCCACAATACCCTGGACAACCCGCCACAATACCCTGGACAACTCGCCACAGCCTTTTCGGACAACTCGCCACACTTTTTCCCATCATGATTTCTAGATCTAAAATGAAATGAAATTGTCATTTTTCATGATTTTCGTGCTTTTATAAACACAGTCATTACAAAGAATAAAGAATAAAGTTGATTTCCCTAATTGTAACAATAATATATATTGAAATGAAATTGTCATTTTTCATGATTTTCGTGCTTTTATAAACAGTCATTAAAAAGAATAAAGTTGATTTCCCTTGTAACAATAATATACTTCTGATCTAGAGGTCTATAACAGCTGCATTTTTCTGTCCCAGAATTTTTTTATGGTAGGATACTGGAAGCACTGGCGTACTGATGGGGGGGGGGGGGGGGGGCAGGTAATATTAGAATGTAAAGATACGCCAAAGATACATAGCAGCATATTCCTACCATTAAAAAGTTTCCTGAGACATGAACTTAAAAATCGTAGTCGTAACTCGTAGTCGTAGTACGCCTGGCTTGGGTTCGTCCAAAATAGATTCTTGTTGCAAGCGCAAGGAAAATCATCTTTATTCTTTAGAACAGCTCTCAAAATACTCACAATTTCCATGTTTCCTGTCATAACTGTGTTTATAAAAGCACGAAAATCATGAAAAATGACAATTTCATCTAAGATGAGGGATTTTAGATCTAGAAATCATGAGGGGGAAAAAGTGTGGCGAGTTGTCCGAAAAGGCTGTGGCGAGTTGTCCAGGGTATTGTGGCGGGTTGTCTTTGGGCGGGTTGTCTTTGTGGCGAGTTGTCCGGGATTCGGCGTGCCATGCCACGCGTGAGCGTGTTTTGCTCCAATTGAAAACGGTACTAGGGAGCTGTGGCATATCCAGATAAAATAGGTTATAAATAATTATCAGATTATATATTTATATATATTACAAACTATGCGTGTATTATATTATTTATTATTGTAGCTCACAGCACACCGATTATTCAATTCAAATTTATTTCCATGTTTGGTCAAAACAAAGAAATAAATACAATCAACATATAAATATATGTAACAAAGACAAAATCGAAAACATGATTTAGGTAAAATATCTGAAATATCCAATAGCTTTGGTATAATTAATCGATATTAGAAAGTTCTTCTTCTTAACGAATACAAAGCCATGTGCTCATTATTCAAACTGATTTACAGTTAATTGTTATTAATTTCCGAGAGATTTTGAAAGGCAGACGAAAAAAACAAAATATTTAAGTGGGATACATGCTTTTCATGCAATTAGAGAAAATAATTCCAGCATATTGCTTTAAAAAACAAAACATAAATAAATAAATAAATGACTGATAATTATTCGCCGAAATGATACGTCAGGTGCGTTATCGTGCAAACTCTGAATTGTCATCCAAAACATTGCGTCATACATCAACGGATCCGCCATCATGTCCATAATAAAGCTGACATTGGGAGAAAGAAGAACTATAACATTTTTCAAAGTTAGTACTATCATGGAAATGAGCTTTCAATTATTCCCCTGTATCAGATCCACTAAAAAAAAATACGGTGACCGTTAATTTAATAATTTAATAATAATATCAATACACGGGCTGGCTGGTTGTGCGAATAAACCCACGCAAAAAGGGCAAACAAAAATCCAACATTGGCATTTGCTGGATTAAAATGTATAAGGCGCTATCTCGATTGTTCAACGGCTGGTTCAAAAATTATTTTTAAATCGTTATATTTATGGATATTTCAGCCGTGACTGAACCAATTTAGATCGAACAAAGATGATTTCATCATTAACATTGTATGCTCTTTCAAATATGACACTCAATTTTGTATTATTTCACCAACAAAAAATAGTGTAGCGCCCTCTATACCAAAACTCAACTGTCTCTTTAAAGGGAAAAATATGGACTGATTTGTTACTAACGAGAGTAGTGCTTCAAAAGGTTATCTTCTACAGTTAGTGGTTTGGGATGTATAGGCGCAAGCTATGAACCCCACCAGCCAGTATACTCTTGAGGTATAAAGTATTTAAATCCAGGTCTCATTTCATGCATTATTATTGTTTTGACAGATCGCTTGAATTTGCTTCTATAAACACATCGTATGTTCTAATGGATAATAATTGTACCATGTCGAAACGAGAAATCATTATGACCAATTCAATTCAACTCAATTCAATTCACTTTATTTGGCAGGATAACAAAATTAAGTACATAAAAGTCATAAATGCAGTATATTATAATAGGCAAGGACCCCCAAGAAGCAATTTGGGCTTGTAAATGAGGCCCCTCACAAGTTAAACACAACATCAAATCAAATCGGAGGGAAACAAAAGTTACATTTACAAGCTACATATTACATGTATATCACAATAGACGACAGCAGGTATCCACCTTATAGAATTCTCATAGACACACCAACAAACATCGTGTCACTGTTGTCATGCAACTAGAATTCATAGTTTGGTTTATGTCACATACACACACACGCGCGCGCGCGTCAACGGGCAATCATCCGATTCTGCTTTCACATTGCAATTTACACTGACGTTTGGCGGGATTTTCGCCTGGGTTTTTCCCACTAACATAAAAGGCAAAGACACTCAGTGAGATTCCCAGGTTTGCGTCGCTATCAATATTGAAAGGATGTATTGTGTTGAAACTGTGAAACGTTCTCTCTCTCTCTCTCTCTCTCTATCTCTCTCTCTCTTTCTCCGCACTATGCCAGAAGTATTTGTCATAACGACGAGACCGACATGAGAATGACACTACCTGGCGCAAAAGACGAACAAATATTGCATTATAACTTATGTACAATAAGTACAATTACTCGGAAAGAAATATTATATCCAATACAACAAAATCCAACGACTTCATGTCAAAGAAAATCAATGACATTCGCATAAATTTGCATAATTTACTTATTATGTAGAATAGCTGTGTGTATGTGTATCATGGGCGGATCTACGGGGGGAAGGGGGTTACCCCCCCCCCCCCCATCCCTCCTCGGCTGCCAAAGGAAAATGTGATGTGCATAGAAAAACGCAATCATGTGTCCAGACCCACGCAGTATTAGTAGATGGTAGATGCCAGGAAAACATCACTTACGGGGGTTCAAAATAGCCCCCAAAAATATTTTAATTATTATCAATATTATAATTATTATTGAAATTATAAATACTAAATTTTAATCACTCATGCGTGAAATATGCATCATAATGAATTGCATCAAATGAAAGAGGAGGATCTAAGCTTTCCAAATATGTGTCATTTATTAATTATAAATGTGATTAAGTCATGATAAAACATCGATAATTCTCGGTTTCGTTTTTTCTGGGACGCACTGTATATATATATATTGTTCAACGCTTTCAACTTTTGTACGAGAGGTCTCGGTTCGATTCTTGCTCAGTTCTGACATCCTTGGACAATAGTTATGCCCCAAAAATTATTTGGCCTGCATGAAGATATTACAAATACTGGTGTGGCTACCCTCAGTAAAAAAAAAAAAAAACTATAGCTGCCAAACAAAATTCTATTCTTTTGAAATTCTTTGAAATTGATTGAAATTTGTGAATGAGCAATCGATTCCATATGCAAATGTATACAGATGCGAGAAACAATGTCGGAGCTTTAGAGGAATCATTTCAACAGGAGGCATTCGGCGTGTTTCTATCTAAAGCCATTATCCGCCATTATCCGGTTAATGGCCGGTAAGGGATAAAGTTTTCCTAATAGAAACACACTTTCTCCGGCATTATCCGGATAATGCCGGAGAGAGCTTTTACGCGTTCACCGGCAAAATTATCCTTCTTTTAGAAGGATAATGCAGGGGAGGCTAACCGGATAACGTAGATAGAAACACACCCCGTTCCGATTGAGTGCACATGCCGGTGAGAAACCGGAAATAGGAGTGATCACGTGATCGGAAAATTTTACCCCGACACGCGCGACACTACAATCCCGGGTTGACCTAGCAGTCCCACAATACCTTGCGGTGACCTGTTTAGCCAGAGTTCGATGAACTTTTTCACCGCCTTTTTTCTGGCTAGATCGGAGTGGTGTATTTTATCCTGGTAATGCGCGTAGATATTAACTGCTCTTCCCTGGCATTATACGCTTATTTCTTCAACCGGATAATTCAGTATAACTAATATACCCTTTTCACATCTACCAAATATTGCTTAACCCCGGGAAATAGGTGGGGCTAAGGGGGCTCTTAGCCCCACCAATTCCTTCCTTAGCCCCACCAATTACCCGGGGTAATTTTAGCCGGCTTTCTGTTCACATTACGTTTTGCCAAAGTGGGCTAACCCCACAAATAGTACGGGACTATCTGGCCCTGCAAAATAGCAGGGTTAGCCGGGCAATTGCGGGGTTAGCCGGGCAATTGTGGTGCTAAGCTGCGTAGTGTGAATCCGAACCGGGCTAAGGAGAAGCGGGGCTAAGCAACAGCCAATCACAGACAGCGTGGTCGTGTGGTCGTGAATTTGCATTTATCGCGCGCTATGCATGCAGTTCACGTTACGCATGCATGCAGTTCACGTTACGCATGCGCGGTAGCAAAAGCATTAATATTCATGAGCTATCGAATAGTCCGGGGCTAAGGCGAACGTAGTGTGAATCGCTTGAAATTTCTTAACCCCGGCTAAGCACATAGTCCGGGGTTAAGAAAATAGATGTGAACAGCAAAAAAAATAGTATGGGGTTAAGGATAGTATGGGGTTAAGGATAGTCCGGGGTTAAGAAAAATAGATGTGAAAAGGGTATAAGAAGTTGATTAAATGTCTGTTGCATGAATTCATATATGAAATAGGTTTACTTCATAGAA